TGAGGCCCTAGGTTCGATTCCCCAGCACCACATAAGCAAAAAAGAAAAAAGCCGGAAGTGGCACTGTGGCTCAAGTGGTAGAGCGCTAGCCTTGAGCTGAAGAGCTGAGGGACAGCGTTCAGGCCCAGAGTTCAGGCCCCACGATTGGACCCCCCCACCCCCCCAAAAAAAAGAATCTCATGGACTTTCCTGCCCAGGCTGGCTTTGAACCACAATCCTCAGATCTCAGCCTCCTGAGTAGCTAGGATTACAGGCATGAGACACTGGCACCCAGCTTAAAGCCAATTCTTGACTTCACAGCAGCAATGGATAGAGACCTAATTGCCCCAGAGGAGTAGAGTTAAATACATGCACCAAACAAGCAGAGGGAGTGGTAGGGCCTAGCACACCCAGATTCATCTCTTAAACTCCCCAATCAAGTAAGTCACATCACTTCCTGGATGGCAACAATCAAGTAGGTAGAGAAAGGCTTGGAGTGTTCTACTTGAACATAGCCCTACATGTGGAGGGCAGCACCAAGACTGGGAGTGATGTTCTCTCCAAAGTGTGCAGGACTCTCTGCTAGGCATGGACAAGACCAGTTCTTGCTCTGGTAGGAACAGATTTGTGAGTTCATAAATAAAGCCATTTTCTGAGCAACTGCTCTGGCCTGATCCTGTGGGATACAGATGGTAGAGAATTTGAGGATTCTGAGTAGGAGGCAGTACCCTGAGGAATACATATGGGGTTGCAATGGAGTTGCCAGAAAGCAGAACTCTGTGATTAGCTGGACCATCAGATTAGAATCCTGTGGTTGCTGAGAAGGGGCTGGAGGGGGTATGCAACTGAATTATTCTCTGCTTCCCAGAAAATGTGTCTCAGTGGACAAGGACAAAGCCAAATGACAGAGATGACATCTTAAGCATGGTGAGGGCTTGCTCCTGGGAAGGTTTGGGAAAAAAGAGGGAAAACCAAAGCACTCAGTTGATCTCAGCTCTCCCTATCTCATGGCCAATGATTTCCCATCCTGCATGTCCCCTTTCCCCTGAGGTGGGTATAGAAGAGTACGATGCTCTCTCTGCTTCCACTACCCCCAGTAGCTGACTATCCCTTCATATAGGATTTAGGCTTGGTCAATGCATCCTTGTTACCTCCTCCTGAGTGCACCCAGAAAGGAGGCTACCCTCGTGGTCCTGGATGCCATACAGTGCCAGACATCGCCCTCTTCTCTCTTCTCCTCTTCCTTACCTCCTTCTTCTTTGCTACGGCTCTCAAGCATGTAAAGAACAGCCGCCTCTTCCCCTCCATGGTGAGTGTTGCCTTTTTTTTCTATGTGAGAGTTATTCTCTTGGCTTTGAGTCCTGTCTGGAAATGGGACAGGATGTGAAAGGAAAGACATGGCAGGTCCAGACCTCACTGTATCCACTGTGTGGCCAGGTGCGCAAAGTGTTCAGCGACTTTTCCTCAGTCCTGGCTATCCTGCTGGGCTGTGTCCTTGATGCTTTTCTGGGCCTAGCCACCCCGAAGCTCCTGGTACCCACAGAATTCAAGGTGAGAGCTGGGCCATTTGATGGGGGATAGGGGAACATCAGCGCTAACAAACCTTGGAAGAGAAAAGATGCACAGTTGCTATTCTTTTCTTCATGAATTTCTTTCCTCACTCATAAAATAAAAAAATAGTAATGATAATGGTCCCACAGAGCTGTTGAGACCATTACATGAGGTAGTACATGAGTGATAATAGAAGATTATGCACAATAGCTTATTACTTTTCGGTAGAGATCAGAAGGATGGGCTCTGGACAGCCAGCCTTGGGTTTAAATTTCAGTTCTGACACTTTGTATGTATGCATTAAGCAATTTATTGAAAGCCTATTTCTTAATCTATAAGATGGAAATAATATAACAATAGCTCCTACCTCATAGGTTATTTTGAGGTTTACAGTAGATCCTAGTGTTTGGCACGTCTCACAGTGCTCGACACATAACAAGTCTTCAGTAAATGTTAGTCATTGTTGTTATGAGCTCTCCCTACCCTTTACTGTGGCCCTTCCTACTTCACTACTTCTCACTCTTTTCTTTCACCCCTCATTGCCTGCTTGGTTCCAGTAAAGCTGGAGCTCTCTCTCTAGGGTGTGACTGTATAGAACAAAGCTTTGTACTGATTATTAGGCTTTGTGCTACAAGAGACTTCCCACTGGTTTCCTCCAGTACAGAAGGGCAGGAAGGCTCTATTTGGGGCAGCCTCAGGGGCTCAGAACCCCAAGTAGCAATCCAGGCCTTCTGCTTCCAACAGACGCTTATAATCAAAGCAGACGCAGACACACCTAGCCCTGCCCCAACCCTACCCCAGATCTGGGCAGGTCTGAGCCTGAGCTGCCCCACCCTGAATGGGGGAGTGTCTAATAAGGAGGGCTATATATACTATACTGCAAGAAGTGTGGGAAGGCCATAGCCAGTGAGGGAGGGCCTTGAAAGCAAATGCCTAGAGCCTTTGGCTCCAGCCAGCCTGGCCCCATCTTGCCTTCTTTTAAGGTACTGGGATGTTTTGAAGCACAACACACACACACACACACACACACACACACACACACACACACACACACACTTTCCCCTAGCATCCAGTGTCCTAGAGAGGGGAGTAAATTGTAAAAGAGTACTGAGACTGTGGGGTGGGGGTACACATGTATTCTTGGAACCCATGTATTCCATGTACATCTGTCCATGGAATGCCTTCCCTCAGCCTACACTCCCTGGGCGTAGCTGGCTGGTGTCACCTTTTGGAGCTAACTCTTGGTGGTTGAGTGTGGCAGCTGCCCTGCCTGCCCTGCTTCTGTCTATTCTCATCTTCATGGACCAGCAGATCACAGCAGTCATCCTCAACCGCACTGAATATAAACTGCAGGTACGGCCTGATCATTAAGATCTAGATCAAGGGACAGAAACTCCAGGATGGAGTCCAGGTTGCCCCTCTTCTATGGTCCAGGGTAGCCTCCATCCACTCATCATCCTCCATCCACTCCCTGCAGAAGGGAGCTGGCTTCCACCTGGACTTGTTCTGTGTGGCTGTGTTGATCCTGCTCACATCGGTGCTTGGGCTGCCCTGGTATGTCTCAGCCACTGTCATCTCCCTAGCCCACATGGACAGTCTCCGGAGAGAAAGCAGAGCCTATGCTCCTGGGGAGGCCCCCAGCTTTCTGGGCATCAGGTAAGGCCTGGATTCAGAGGCTCGAGTAGGAGGAGAAGAGCAAGGTAGTTATGGGATATGTGACAGTTATTTTCACAGTTTAAACTCACTGTAGTGGGTGGGTTCTGGACTCAGAATTTTCTCCCCTTCAATCGTGATGAGGAGGAGGGCCCTCAAGAGTACCATCACTGATGCAAAGGTGGAGGTAGCCAAAGCTTAAGTGGAGAGTGATGTACCACCTGATAGTCCCTGCTCAATGCAGAAGCATATCAATGGCTGTTCAAAGGAATTCATTACAAGCAAGTTTGAAACTGTTGGAAACACAATCTGTCTAAAATATATTATTAGCCAGATACTGGTGGCCTGGGGCCCTCATGTAAAGTGCCTTTCTTGTCTATCAGTTGAGGGGAACTGACTAGAGGATCTATTTTCCTCTGGCTGCTAGGGCCTCTACTAGTGAGTAATTTGATATCTAGCCTAGGTGTTAGGCACTCTTCCAAACTGTAGCTATCTCTTCTTTCTCCCCACAGGGAGCAGAGGCTGACTGGCCTAATGGTGTTCATCCTTACTGGTACCTCCATCTTCCTGGCACCTGTACTCAAGGTACCTGTCAGGCCAGGATGAGGGTCAGTACATATAAATAATACATGTAGCAACAACTGGTACTGACACAGTCAATTGGATTTATACAGTCTCATTCAATCCTCATATTAACCTTGGGAGGCATATGTACTTTACAAATGAGAACTGTAAAGTTTAAAAAGGTAAAGTAACTTGCAAGAGCCCACCTAGAGAGCCAGAACATCTCTTAGATACCATGCTCTGATAGCCACCCAGGAAAACTGAGGACAGAAGAATAATGAAAAATATGAGACTAAGCACCTACGGTCAACACACACAAGTGAAAGTTTAGTAACAAGTGATAGCAGAAATGGTCAACAAGCAAAGATAGCAAAGCAGCAAAGCAGTCATGGAGGGTGCAGAAAATATCAGACAAAAGTCACTGGCAGAAGACAAGAGCCATGAAGTGAGGTGAGGAAAAGTACATGGTGGCTGAGTGAGAGTGATGCAGTAGAGGGCCAGATGGACTGGATCAGTCACTAACTAGGTGACTCTCATGAACCACATGCCAAGCACTGTTCTAGGTACTGAGGATACAGTGGCAAGCCAATGTTTCTATCCTTGAGGTCTGGTGATAAGAGACAGATTTTTTTTTGGGGGGGGCGTCTGGTCGTGGGGCCTGAACTCTGGGCCTGGGTGCTGTCACTCAGCTCTTCAGCTCAAGGATAGCGCTCTACCACTTGAGCCACAGTGCCACTTCTGGCTTTTTTCTTTTTGCTTATGTGGTGCTGAGGAATCGAACCCAGGGCCTCAGGCATGCAAGGCAAGCGCTCTACCACTGAGCCACCTTCCCAGCCCCCAGATTTTCTTTTCTTTTTCTCTTCCTTTCCCTTTTCCTTCTAATCTCATGGACTTTCCTGCACTAGCTGGCTTCAAATCACAATCCTCAGACCTCAGACTCCTGAGTAGCTAGGATTATAGATGTGAGCACTGGCACCTGGAATCTTTCTTTTCTTCAAATTAGCTTACATTAGTTATACAGAGAACAATTTCATTGTTACATTTCCACAATTTACAATATGTTCCAATCAATCCTACCCCATCTATCATTCTCCTTTTCTGCCTTTTCAAAGCAATTTCAACATATATTTTTAGAAAGTAGGGGCTGGGAAGGTGGCTTAGTGGTAGAATTCTTGCCTTGCATGCATGAGGCCCTGGGTTCGATTCCTCAGCACTATATAAGCAGAAAAAGCCAGAAGTGGTGCAGTGGCTCAAGTGGTAGAGCATTAGCCTTGAGCTGAAGAGCTGAGGGACAGCGTCCAGGCCCAGAGTAAGTAAAATAGGATAACTTCAGATAGAGATAACATTTATGAAAAATGAGGCTACTTCATATTGAGTGGTTATCATTGAGCTGTCATGAGATGAACCATGAATGCTGAGAAGGAGCTGGCCATAAAGAAATCTGGGAGAACACTTTGGTGGGAAGTATAGCAAAGCAAAAGGCTCTGCAGTGGGTAGAACCAAATGGGTGCATTGATGAAGGAAAGGATAACAGTATACTGGGAACATAGAGAACAGAGGGTATGGGATACCTGAAATTGGAAAAGAACCTTGGTGTGGTGGTGCATGCCTATCAACCTTGTTCTCAGGAGGCTGAGGCAAGAGGATCTTGGGGGGGGGCAGAGAGACACTAGGAAATGCACAAGTTTCTCTTTCAGTTTCTCCATCTGAAAGTGCAGACAATAATTTATTTCATGTGATTAATGAGAGAATTCAATGAGACTAGGCATGCACAATGTACCAGGAAATGAAAGCCTGGACAAGCTCAGATGTTAGCACTAAAGTGGGACATCTGGACAGCTGGAAGGTAAGCTATTTTGCAAGCTTTCCATTTTTTTCCCCTACCAGTTTATTCCAATGCCGGTGCTCTACGGCATCTTCCTGTACATGGGGGTGGCAGCACTTAGTAGCATCCAGGTGAGGCCATTAAAATCTCCTAGCAACACTTCTCCTCCTGCCCTCAGTTGTCAATCCCCCTCCTATTGCATGGCTGCCTCTCTTGGTCAACAGGGACCCTGTGTCACGCTCAGGGTGGGGAGGCCAAGGGGACTTTCTACCCTCCCCCACATTTGGCTGGGATAGCTGCAGTGACATTCAGGTCACTGAATGGTCTGTTTCCTTTTCCTCTCGTCTTCCCAGTTCATGAAGAGAGTGAAGCTGTTGTTGATGCCTGCAAAACATCAGCCAGACTTGCTGTTCTTACGGCATGTGCCTCTGAGCAGAGTCCACCTTTTCACAGCCATTCAGCTTGCCTGCCTAGGTCTGCTTTGGATAATCAAGTCTACCCCTGCAGCCATCATCTTCCCCATCATGGTGACTTGGGGCAGGGTTAGGTTGTCCTGGGGGAGGTTCTGGGAGAATGTGAGTCTGGGAGGATAGTCAAAGCCTCTACAAGAGCAACTCTCCTCTCTTTCTCTCACTTGCCCTGGTTCTTCCTGATTGGAAATGCTAAGACAAGAAAAGATAGCTGAGCGATACACAGACTTGTCCTGTGATAGTTAATTCACTTCCTTTCCCAACCTCTTGAGCTTATCTCATAAACCCAGAAAGAAGAGTGACGTCCTAGGAAAGACAGTGTTGACAATTTCTGTTCCTCACGGATGAGAAAGAGGCACAGGCTTTGCAGTAGGTTATCACATCCCGGTTGTCTAACTTCTAGGAAGTAACTAACCTCTCTGGGTTTCTATTTCTTTGATGTATAATGTGAACACTTTTTATATCTAACGATGTATCTAGGAATGTGTTAACAATCAATGCCTTGCATATAGGAAGTGTTCAATAAATGTTACACTTATTTTTCAGCTGCTGTTGCTCACAATCCTTGGCTTGTTTCTGTTTTTGCAGTTGCTGGGCTTGGTAGGGGTTCGAAAGGCACTCGAGTGGGTCTTCTCGCCACAGGAACTTCTCTGGCTGGATGAGCTCATGCCAGAGGAGGAAAGGAGCATCCCTGAGAAGGGGCTGGAGCCAGATCACTCATTTAATGGAAGTGACAGTGAAGATGTGAGCTCTAGTCTAGGCCTTCCTAGGGGAATGGGTCCAAGAGCTATTCCTAAACCCTAATATCTCCACTAAACCTGAAGATCTGATAACAACAACAACAACAACAACAAGCATTTCTCTTAGCTCTGCATTGACACAGGCAGAATGAAGGACATCCTATTCCCTTCCTCCCTCTGTTTCTCTGTCTGTCTCTGTATATTCCCAACTTTAGGATCTCTCTTCCACAGTCACAGCTGATGTATCAGCCAAAAGCTCCAGAAATCAACATCTCTGTGAATTAGCTGGAGTAGGAGATGGAAGTAGAGACCTCTGGAAACTAAACATGAGGTGAGAGTATGAAACAAGTAAGTTCTCTTGATGTTAAAGATGGGAAGTGTGGGGTGTGGGATCTTGGAAACTTGTTTTCCTTGAGGGGTGGGGGTTGGAATTCGAACTCAAGGCTAGTGCTCTCACTACTTGAGCAAGGGTTCAAGTGCTTGAGCCACGTCTTTAGCCCAGAAACCTATTTTTACCTTTTCCTTTCCCTCCTTTTTTTGGAAACCATCTTTGTATTCTCTTTATACCTCAATACCTCCTCTACCCTGAATGGGAGAAGTAAGAAGATATCAGAGGGAAGAAAAAGGGGCTGGGAAGGTGGCTCAGTGGTAGAGCGCTTGCCTTGCATGCATGAGGCCCTAGGTTCGATTCCCCAGCACCACATAAGCAAAAAAAAAAGGGGAAAAAAAGCCGGAAGTGGTGCTGTGGCTCAAGTGGTAGAGCGCTAGCCTTGAGCCGAAGAGCTGAGGGCCAGCGCCCAGGCCCAGAGCTCAGGCCCCAGGACCAGACCAAAAAAAAAAAGAATGCAACTCAGAGGGAAGAAAAAAAAAAACGACCAGGGTACCTGGGCTTGATTCCCTGTAAATGTGAAGTTGAGCCAGTGGAGGGAGCTCAAGTTCACAACAGGATGTGGTGGTAGAGAGAAGGAGAGGGAGTGCCAGGACAAAAGAAAGGGATAGAAAGAGGATAATGCCTATGTTGCTTTCCCTTGGCCAAGAGGCTTCTCCTCTAGTCTGATGTGAACCACACTTGAGTTATATAAGTGGAGGATTCTCTTATCTCTTGCCCTCTCCACTTTTCATTTTATTTACCATTTTTCTGAGGCATAACATACCTATCACAGCCTTTGACCTCGGAAGCTTAAATTCTACTTGGAGAATCATAGGCAACTATTAGTGGGATAGTGATGAATAAGGGAAACACAGGCTGAGGGAGCAAGGAAGCCTCTACTTCCATTTTGGAGGGTACTGAAGATGGGCTGGAGTTAGTTTCTGGGGTTTCCCATTATTTAAAATCTGAAGAATGAATACAAGCTTGCCTGGACAGGATAGATGGGAAATGTTCTATACAGAAATGACCACATGAGCTTACAATTATTTTCCTTTGTTAATCTAAACTCTCTTCTGTACCACAGAACACCCTCCTTTCCATATCTCTATAAGCCTAAGACCTTCACCACTAGCAAGGGAATTTTTCTTTTCTTTTTTTTTTGGGGGAGGGGGGGTCTGGTCGTGGGCCTGAACTCTGGGCCTGGGCGCTGTCCCTCAGCTCTTCAGCTCAAGGCTAGCGCTCTATCACTTGAACCACAGCGCCACTTCCAGCTTTTTTCTTTTTGCTTATGTGGTGCTGAGGAATCGAACCCAGGGCCTCATGCATGCAAGGCAAGCGCTCTACCACTGAACCACCTTCCCAGCCCTTCTTTTCTTTTCTTGAGACAGTGTCTCACTGTGTAGTCCAAGCTGTTATTGGATTTGTGATCCTCTTACTTCAGTCTCCTGAATGCTGGGATTACACCATACTTGGCTCTGCGATAGAAAATTTAGGTGCACTAAATGGAGAAAGAGTGATCTACTGACTGGCCTAGAATAAGTTTGCCTAGTACTTCCTTATCCTTAGCATTTCTTTTGCTCTATAATTTGCCCTATTGTATCCCTGAGCACTTGCTCTAACCTTACCATGTTTTCCTTGGATTCACAGGTATTTTATTTAGGAAGTCAGAACATTATTGGGAGATACTGTCGACTGGGGACCTGGAACAATGGGACAAGCCTGAAAAATAGCTGGTCAAGATTTCAGTTACTTCCTGAGTCATGGTGGAAAGTGACAGGGAGAAGTTTTGTTAGTGCTTAAGAAAGGCAGATCTGATCAGTCCCCATTCACTTATTCTCTTAACGCTAAAGGGACCTGAAACCCAAAACCCTTTACATTTTTACCTCATTAATTCTCCTATATGGAATCTAATGATTATCTTTTCTACTCCTAGAGGGAAAAAGAAATGTTCCTCTGTTTGAAACAAGTTTTTACAAACATAAAAAAATCTTTATTGTTGTCTTGTTGATCACAAAAATCAAAGAGATTACTGGAAAAGACTGAAACATAGACGTATAATTTTGAAATGAAATTATACTGGAAATCATCACTGTTCATATTTTGGTCTATATAGGTCAGATTTAGTTCAATGAACACTTTCATATTTTTATTAAAGGGGAATTATGCTGTGGAGTGTATTTTATTTTATTTTCCTTTGTGGTGGTACTGGGGCTTGAACTCGAGGCCTGAACATTGTCCTTGAGCTTTTTAGCTCAAGACTAGTGCTCTATCATTTGCAGCTCTACTTTCTGGTATTTTGGTGGTTAATTGGAGATACGAGTCTCACAGATCTTTGGATCTCAGCCTCCTGAGTAGCTAAGATTACAGGCATGAACCACTGACACCTAGCAGAATTTTAAAAAATCTATTACTTTTTTGGCAGTACTAGGTTTGAACTTAGGACCTTGTGCTTGGTAGATATGTATTCTATTGTTTGATCCACACCTTTAGAATATTGTAGAATTTTGTAACATGCCTGCCACTTAATATTAGCTGGACATTTTCCCCATGTCAGTACACATGCATGTACCTCATACTTTATCATGGACATAGAATAAACTTTAAATTAAAGTTGAAAAAAATATATACAAGAGTACATAAAATGTCTTCCACAAGTACAAGAAATTTGACAGAATAAATATCTGGGAATGGAATTAAAGAATAACAACAAAGTAGTTGGGCTTGTAGTTCAGTGATAGAAAGTTTGCCTAGTATTGCAAACACTTTCAATCCTTAAAAAGAAATCCATTAAAAAAAGAAAGAAAGAAACCAGGTGTGGTGGCATAAGCCTGTAATTCTAGCATTCAGGAAGCTGAGGGGATCATGAGTTTGGGCTATACATTGTTTACTCTGTAGTAAACAAACACATATATAACAAACAAAGAGGAAACCCCTCCGAATAAATTCAAACAAACATGTAGGGAATTTCTACCACCTCCTTCTATGTCCTAGATTGCGTCACCCTTCCAGGTAAATACTATCCTAATTTATTTAAATTTTATTTTGTAATCTTCAAATGATTGTGCAGAGGATACAATTTAACATGTCCATTTATGTGTCTGCTTCTTGGTCATTTACCTTTTCCATCATTCACCTTCCACCTCTTTCCCCAGACCCATGTCACACTTCCTGCTTCCTTTATCACATATATACATGGGGTATTATGACTTTGTTTCCCATTCCGTTTTCCATTAATCTATCTCCCTCCCACTACCCAACACTCCAATCAAACTGTTTCAGCTTCCTCATCTTCATTTTGTTAAACTGTTAGTTCAAAGGTTTTTACTCCATGAAGTTTCGCTATATATACTAAGTCAACTAGATTGTATATACTTATGAATATGCCCATTTACATGTGTTTACATATGAGGTTAGATTTTGAGTCTAAGAGAAAACATGTGCCCTACTATCCTAAATTATTTTTTTGTTGTAGTTGTTGATAGTCCTGGGGCTTGAACTCAGGGCCTCGGGCATTGCCTCTGAGCTTCTTTTGCTCCAGGCTAGCATTCTACCACTTGAGCCACAGTGCTACTTCTGGCCTTTTCTGTTTATGTGGTACTGAAGAATCTAAACTAAGGCTTCATGCATGTTAGGCAAGTACTCTACTACTAAGCCACATTCCCAGCATTATCCTTAATTTAATGTTACTATTCAAGCCCCACAATCAACACAAAACATAAATAACTAAATAACTAAATAAAATTGCTTATCATTCATACTCTCAGGTAAAAATTGCTATTATATGAAATTATAGCTCATATAGCTGGCAACCAAAATAACTGTACAAAATACTTTTTCTTGAGACAATTGGTGAACTTTGATATACTGCAGAAGTGTCTGTGTGTGCTTCTCATTTCCTCACATAGAACAGTAAAAACAGTCAAGGGCAGGTTTTAAGAAAATGTTATACCAAGGATATTTATTTATTTATTTACTGGTCCTGCGGTTTGGTCAGGGCCTGGGCACTGTCCCTGAGCTTCTCTGTGCTCAAGGATAGGACTCTATTACTTGAGCCATAGCACCACTTCCTGCTTTTTCTGAGTAGTTTATTGGAGATAATAGTCTCATGGGCTTTCCTGCCCTTGGCTAGCTTTGAACCATGATCCTCAGGTCTCAGCCTCCTGGGTAGCTAGGATTACAGGTGTGAGCCACCGGTGCCTGGCTTTACACCAAGAAATTTTTGTGGGTTTTTGTTTGTTTTCTGTGCTGGAGATTAAACCCAGGGCCTTATGCATACTAAATGTATATAGTCTATCACTGAGCTACATTCCCCACCCTAGGACATTCTTAGTAAAATTTATTTTTCTTTCTCTTTTAAGTGCCTAAGGCAATAACATACTAACTACTAGTAAAGTGTGATACAACTGACTAATTTGTGCTAAGATATCATCAATTTTAGTCCTCATAAGGCTTTTATAATTATAGCAAAAGCCAGCATGGTGAAAAGTAGTATCATACAATTATAATCAAAACAGGTTGATTTTATGGATTTCTTTAAGGGTCTTAAGATCTTCAGGAGGAAATAGATCATCATACTTTGAGATCTATTCCTTTGTGTGTGTTGAAATATATCTTTTAAAAAATTACCTTTAAGTAGTTATACAAAGGGGTTTAAATTCAACAGGACAGGTTATGAGTATAATGCATCTTCATCAATGTCACCCCTTCCATCATTCTCCCCTTGCTGAAATATATGTAAAGTATTTGTCCCACAAATCCACATTTCTCTGAGTTAATGTATTTTAAAAAGTGCATTCTAAATGGGGACAGGAGAGTGACAGAGGTGGGCAAGATTGATTAGAATACATTGTAAATGTGTTTGAAAGGTAAAAATGAAATCCCTCTATGTAAAACTAATGTATACTTAAAAAAAGTTGAAGAAGCTCAAGATCCTAAGTTCAAGCCCTAGTACCCTCCCCCACAAAAAGTTACAATACTCTTATGTGTGTACATATTATATAAATAAATGCACATATTTGTACTATACAAATAAGAGTGCTTTTATTTCTCCCTAAAAAGTATGTTGTTTTCTTCCATATTTTGACTTATTGTAACTAAAATTAGTAATAATAGGGGCTGGGAATATGGCCTAGTGGAAGAGTGCTTGCCTAGCAAGCACTATTCTTTAGTGCCACATAAAACAGAAAATGCTAGAAGTGGCACTGTGGCTCAAGTGGTAGAATGTTAGCCTTGAGCAAAAGAAGCTCAGGGACAGTGCCCAGGTCCTGAGTTCAAGCCCCAGGACTGGCAGCAGCAGCAGCAGCAACAACAACAACAACAGTGTCTTTTATAAAAGGAAAAACAACAACAACAACAATGGTGTCTTTTATAAAAGGAAAAAAAAAAGCCAGGTGCTAGTGGTTCATGCCTGTAATCCTTGCTACTCAGGAGGCTGAGATCTGAGACTCACGGTTCAAAGCCAGGAAGGCAGGTTTTATCTCCAATTAACCACCAGAAAACAAAAGTGGAGCTGTGGCTCAAAGTGGTAGAGCACTAGCTTTGAGCAAAAAAACTCAGGGACAGCTCCTAGGCCCTGAGTTCAAGTCCCAACACTGATAAAAAAAAAGAGAAAAGAAAAAAAGAAAAAGAAAAATCATCCACCAAATCTAAACTTTCATATCATTTTAAGGTGACTGGGGTGTTTTTGGAGTCATTATTACAAAAAGTGTTACATGCATATTATAAACACATCAAACAATAAGCATACATAAAATTATACTTTATACACACATTTATTATATTCACTAAATTACATTTTATTACATTATTTTCTCAAAAGCTGAAATAATTGCATTTCCTGGGACATTCTTACAGACTTTTCTTTTTCATTTTCAATATTGGTGAATGAATTTGAACTATATTTCAGGCAAAAAGTTTGTGATCTCTCCACAATCAACCAATAAAACGCTGGAATAGTGGTAACACATCTATCATCCAGCTATGTAGGAAGCATAAAATTGAGGTCTAGGCCAGCCTGAGTATAAATGTTAGAACCTATTTGCAAGACAACTAGAACAAAAGAGTTGGGGCTCTAGCTCAAGTGGTAGAGCACCTGCCAGGTCACATTCAAAGCCTTGCGCTTAAACTCCAGTACCACACACACACACACAAAGAAAAAACTGGAGCACCTCTAACTGATTTCTCTAAAGACTGAATTAGTCTGCACTATTGCTAGTAGTAAATAAGCAGATAAGTGGACATGAAATTCCTAAGCTCTGAATTGTGGTCTAACTGGTACTTCAGATGAGTTTTAAGCATCTCTAGGTTCTCCAGAAATCCTAATCTTCATCTGAAATTCTTGGTATATAGGATTATCTCTATTTTCTTTGTACTCTCTAGAATGGCTGGATATTTATTAAACACTTTGATAACTTAAGAGCAGAGGTGCTAGGACAATCTAGGGCCTTAATCAAACTTGAAGTACAGACAGGTCTGCCAACTTTTCAGACACATCCTATATAACTCTATTATAATAGACAAGTGATTCTCATCAACTAATCAATTATTACAAATACTAAATATCTGCTGGAGAGGGCCATTCCTGGCTGCTTTCTCTTGTTACCAACGCTGCCAAGCCAACATGGGGTCTGAGAAGGTCTTCTGGATAAAAAATTCCAGGGTGAGAGCTAGGAAGGTGGCTCAGTGATAGAGCGCTTGCCTTGCACGCATGAGGCCCTGGGTTCAATTCCTCAGCAGCACATAAGCTAAAAGAAAAAACCGGAAGTGGCGCTGTGGCTCAAGTGGTAGAGTGCTAGCCTTGAGCTGAAGAGTTGAGGGACAGTGCCCTGACCCAGAGTTCAGGCCCACGACCAGACCCCCCCCCAAAAAAAATTCCAGGGTGAAGTCCTGATCATATTATTTTTCCTTATAGCTTCCAAGAGCTTATATGATACCCATTGTCAATTAGACTTAATATAGGTGTCTTCTAGGGGTCCTACTAGACATTATACCATTTCTTTGAGGAGGAACATCTCATAGGTGGCACTGTCAGCTTACCCTGCAGGTGAATGCCATTCTGCATTTCCTGGTTTACAGGCCTGCCTTGATGAACAAGGGGTGTGGTAAACTAGGTTGAGTTCAAACACTCCATAAAAGTTAGAGATCAGCCTTTACTGTGACTCAATCTTCATATGCTAAAATTGCTCCCTGAGTTGGAATC